GCAACAGCGCTTGGACGAACTCTCTGGCCAATTCTCTCGGGTCTTAGCCAGAGAGGGGGAGATGAGGTCCAACGTTGGTGGATCATTTGATGCTGCTCCTACAGCTTCTCAGGTTGTTGGTCCAGTATCAGCTTTAATTGCAGTTGAAGCGGCCGAGGCTCTCGAAGCTGAAGCAGTTGCTGCTCCTGTAATCACGTCCACCGAAGCTGCTTTAGCTGAGGTTGACGAAGCCATCCTTAGGGATGATGTCCATACCGTCACTGCTGCTGGTGATGATGATAATGTTGATGAGGATGAAGATGATGATGATGAAGATGATGATGAACCTGTCATTCCAGACACCGGAGATGATCTAGATGGTGACAACGATAATGATGATGAAGATGACTTTACCATCAAGTTCCAGAAGCCATCAACCGTTACCAAAGGTGTTGCCCTCGGGGAATCTCCATCCCAGGGGGAGCAAAGGCAAGGCGAATCGACTCCATCAGAGAACCAGGACCCCAAGTCGAAAGGCAAGGCGATCACTGAAGAAGGTAACTTGAAGGTACTTTTCTTAGGCCCTCAACAAACCTTATTTGAAGACTCTACCTCTCAGGTAGTGATCACTTCAGAGTATCAACTTCATATCCCTTCAACAACCTGCGATCGACTGGAGTGGGTATCTGATCAACCCAGCTCTTTTGCTCCAACAGACCAGCAGATATCATAACTTAAGGAGTCGCTCGACCAGACTAGAGTAAAAATTCATCTTCGTACCTCTGGTGGTGGTGAGTTTGACTTCCTATCTGAAGCTGAAAGACTCGTGGCATTAAGGGCTGAAGAAGAGCTAGAGCTTCAGAAGAAGCAGACTGAAGACAGCTTAAAGCTGGCCAAGTCACTAACTGCTAAAGTCCTTCCCAAGAAAAAGTCCAAGAAAACAGTGAATGTTGTCCAGGCCCAAGCTAAACTTCTTTCATTGGCAGAGGCTGAACGCAAGAAGAAGCTGAACGCAAGAAGAAGCTGAAGCTAGAGGACAAGGATAAGCAATGGAGCGAAGCAAAGCTGAAAAAGAGACTAATAAGCAATGGAGCGAAGCAAAGCTGAAAAAGAGACTAAGTCCCCGCCCAATCATCAGCGTCAGCATCAGCGGACGATCTAAAGATGGTGGAACACTGGTCTCAATGCTCATCACCAAGGACAATCTTAATGTCGTTACCGAGTATCCTTCCTACCTTGGCCGCTATGGATACAGCGAATGGATGGAGATCAGACAAGTCATTCAGCAATCCAAGTCGAGACACAAGACACTTATCGAGGACACCATCAACGAACTCATCAAAAGGATGTCCAGGTATGTCAAGGTCCCTGACCGGCTAACTCTGAAGAAAGGTGGGAAGAAGAAACTAAAGCTCTATGATCCTAATGATGGACCATTCCTAAGGAACGAACATGAAACAAAGTTCTCCTTAGATGAAGTCTTGAAGGGTCATATGAGGGTCGACATTTCTATGCGGAATCTTGACTTGCCAGATAAGGGTCCCTATACACCCAACTCTGTGCATTTTAAACCTGAGTTAGGAGTTATACTCCTTGACTATGAAGGTGAAGTCAAATTTCAGAGAATGTCAGAGCTACGTCTATGTCCAATGGATCACTTGGTGTATCTTTTGCTCTGGATAGATGATAGCATGCCTGGAAGAGTCGTTGATCTGAAGATACGAAGGGAATTCCTACATCGAATAAACCTTGGTGAAAATGTACCTGATTACATAGATCTAAGTGTTCTAGTATAAGGTTCTCTTTGTAACAACAATCCACTCTTCCTTGTAACTTCATGTACTATATCTCCTTTCAGTGATTATACTTATATTCTGTAAGATGAGTATTCCATGTACTTCACTGAAAAATATCCCTGAAAAAAGTAATAGGGACACAAGTCTATGAGTTTCGATGTTACTTTTTCCATTCACTGACAGTCTATAAGTCAGTGAATAAGCCAGTTTCAGTTTCCGTACTTGTAATTTTCTTAGATATAACTTAAGAAAACTTCTCAAGCTGAGACTGACCAAACTGAAAAAGATCCCAAAATAGTAAAAAGGGACATGTACTTTATATGTAACTTTTCCTTACTATTATTTGATAAGATAACCTTCTTTGTGTTATCTTGTTATCATCAAATAAGGGGAGATTGTTGATTCTCTCTCTCAGTGATTTGATGATAATCCTTTTTCTCTTTCACGTTGTATTTATGTTTCTGTATTTTCAGTTTCAGCGATCATCACTGAGTATGTTCAGTGATCGCTGAAGAACTTGCATTGTAAATCTATCAGAGACAGCAATACTTCAAGAAGACAACACTCACACCAAAGAATCTTCAGCAAACGTCGAAGACTGAAACTGAAGATTAGAGACTGGCGAGTACGTGATCTGAAGCGGTATTCAGTGATTACAAG